GAGCCTGGCGCCACTCCTTCCGCTTCTCCGCCTCCGCCGCCCGCCGCTGACCGGGCGTCATCTGCAGGTACTCGGCGCTGTCCACGTCGAGGCCCATCTTCGCGTGGTAGAGGCGTTCCGCCTTGGCCGTCCGGAAGACGGTTCGCCGCGAGCCGCCGTTCTCATCCACGACTTTTTTCTCCTCTTCGATGGTTGTGGATGAAGAGGAGGTAATGGAAGTGGTGGTGGTGTTATTTCCATTTTCGAGCGTCCTCTCAAACTCCCCCTCCTCCTCGCCCTCGCTGTCCTCCTCATCGGCGCTCATGATGGAGCGCAGCTGCTGTTCGGAGTAGGTGGACAGCTTCTTCACCTCCTCTTCGCGCAGCTTCTCCAGCTCGCTTTGACTTAGGTAGCTGAAGTTTCGCTGCTCAGATGAAGAAGAGGTTTCAGATGAGGACTTTGTGGTCTGCTGCTGCTCTGAGGAGGAGGAAGAGGTCGAAGTGGTGAGCGTCGACGTCTGCTGCTGCTGAAGTTGCTGCCCCTTTTTCTTGCCAATCTCAAAATGGCGCTTCTTCTCGCTGAAGCTCATCCACTCTGGGTGCTCCAACTTGGTGGTGGGCGTCAGCGGCTGGAGGGAGCTGGGCTTGGGGGCAATGTCGGGCTTCCGGGGAAGCGGTGGCTTGCCGCCGGGCATCTTTGCCGCCACGTACGGGTCCAGGGCGGGGCTGTCTGAAGAGGGTGAGGAGGAGGAGAAGTTTGCCAGCGGCCTTCCACCCTTGGCCTGCTCGGGAGTTTGCGGTGGTGACAGCACGTGGTGGTGGTGATCAGATGAGGGTGAAATGACGAGCTTCCCGCGTGGAATGGGCGGCGTGTAGGGATTGCTTGGAACCGGTGATGCCGTGGATGGTGCCGGTGGAGTGCTGCCATTGCTGGTCTGTGTTTTAGTTGTGGTGATGGTTGTGATCATATTTGGGGCGAGCATCAGCATGCAACGGAGGGGGAAAATTGGGGGAGACAAAGCAAAACACACTAGGTTAGTATCAGAGCGCAGGCGGGATCAAAGGTTGAAAAAAATGAGGAGAAAGCGGAGGTAGGCAAGAGAGGAGAGTTTAAGAAAAGAGCATTCAGCCGACCGAGGGCAAATTTGGTGGTGGTCAGCAGGCATTTTATAGAGAGTTAAGGAGAGAGAGAGAGAGAGAGAGAGAGAGAGTTAGGAAAGATATAGTGAGAAAGAGTGAGAGAGAGAGAGAGAGAGTTTATTGAAGAAAGACTCGGTGAAAAAGTAGGGAAAAGGAGTAGGAAGAGGAGGGGAAATGAGCAGAGAGGCAAAAAGGTTGAAGAAAAGAGTAAGGAAAAGGAAATAGAGGCTAGAGAGAGAGAGCTCAGAGGAAAGTTATCTAAAAGTTTGTCAAGAAAGAAAAGAAAGCACAGCAAAAGTCAAGAAAGGGAAAATGAAATAAAAAGTGTGAAATGAAGTCGAGAAGTAGATGAAAAAGAATGGAAAAGNAAGAAAAGAAAGCACAGCAAAAGTCAAGAAAGGGAAAATGAGATAAAAAGTGTGAAATGAAGTCGAGAAGTAGATGAAAAAGAATGGAAAAGGAAAAAGAAAAAGAAGAAAAAGAAAGAAAGGACCAAAGTTAGATGATAAAATGAAAAAAGAAAAAGACAGAAAAAGATAGTAGTAAATCGTTTCCAAAGGCAGTGAAGGTGGTGAGATGAGAGAGTGACAAAGAGAAAGGCGGTACAAAGGTATAGGAGAAAAAGTTTTTGGCCAGAAAAAGAGAGGGCGCAGAAAGTCTGTCGTCGCTGCCATTGTCAAGTACATACCATAGAGGACGACGACGTCTGGTGCTTCTTCATGATCACCGTGGTCGTCTTCTGCTCAGTCTTATTGCTGCTGTTGCTGCCGCTGCCTGAAAGCTGCTGCTGGAGAGATTCATTCGTTTTGCTGAAGTTGGTGGTGGTGGTGGTGGTGGTCCCATCGTCATCATCCACATCCTGAAAATTGTGGTGGTGGTGGTGGTAATGATCCGAACTGGAGTTCAAGGGCACTTCCTGCTGGTTGGGCGGTGAGGAGGCGGAGGAGTTGGTGTACGACGACGTAGAGTTCGACACCACCGGCGGTGCTTCCTTTATGGCCGCCGCCTCCGCCGGGTCGTAGCCATCACAGACGAGCAACACAATTCGATTGCCCGTGTTCCTCAGCGAGCTGACCGCCTCCCCGTGCGACGCCCCCAGCAGGCTGACGTCGTTCACCTCGATGATGCGCATGCCCGGCTGCAGGCGGCCATCCCTGGCCGCCGCCCCGCTGGGGTTGATCTTCGAGATGAAGATGCCCTCGTCTTCGCGGTCAAAGGGATTGCCCGGCTGGCCCCCGCTGCCGCCCTTGATGTTCATGCCCAGCTTCTCCGTGGGCAGCTTGTTGATGATCAGCTCCTAAAGGGTGGAAAGCTCATGAGCATAATTTAATCCTTTAAACTCCCTCCTTCCTTCCACTACTTACCTTCCATCCACTGGGCAGCTGTTCGTGCTTCACCGTGAGCACCACCTCCTTGGTGGCCCTCACCAGCGCATCCACCGCCTCCTGATGAGTGGCTCGGCTGATGTTGACGCCGTTGACGGCGAGGATGCGGTCGCCGATGCGAATCTTCCGTGTTCGGGCGGCCAGCCCCTCGGGCACCACCTTCGAGACGAAGATGCCCGGCTCGCCGCCGCCAAACGGGTGACAGGAGTGGTCTGGGCACAAAAACAAAATTAAGTGGTAAGTATAAAACCCCCAAAATACGATGAAAATCCCTCTTACCTGATCCGCCAATGATGCTCAGCCCCAGCGGCCCCTCCGACTTGTGCAGCGTCAGCGTCTCCTCGATGAGCGGCAACGACAGCATATTATTGGTCACCCTTGTGACCGTATTCTCCGTAAAGGTGGTCTTTGTGAGAACCTCGGTAAACTGGCCCACGGCGGTCGGTGCTGCGGGGAACTGCGCCTCCAGGGCGCCCTCGCCATTCTTCAAAGCGACTAGAAAAGAAAGAAGTTATCCTCTGAAAAATCTTAAAAGCACTTAAACAGCACTTACCTGCCGAATGAGGATTATGATTGAGAAGGGCGGCACTGTTTCTCGCAGACAGCTGCGGCGACGAGCTGCTATTGACAATGGAGGCGGCGTTGGAGAGGGGCGTGATGAGCGAGTTGGAGTTATTGCTGCTGCTGATGAGAGAGCCACTGTTATTGGCAGAGGAGGTGATGATAGGCATGGTGTTGCTGTTGAAGGCACTGGAGGAGGAATACTTCGAGTTACCGGAAGCCAGGGGAGGCCTCGACTGGTAGCTGCTGCTCTGAATACTGCTGCTGTCCGCCACGCCTCCTCCTCCTCTCAGCCCCGGAAGCTTGGCATTGAAGATGNCTGATGAGAGAGCTACTTGTGTTATTGGCAGAGGGGGTGATGATAGGCATGGTGTTGCTGTTGAAGGCACTGGAGGATGAATACTTCGAGTTACTGGAAGCCATCAGCGGAGGCCTCGACTGGTAGCTGCTGCTCTGAATACTGCTGCTGTCCGCCACGCCTCCTCCTCCTCTCAGCCCCGGAAGCTTGGCATTGAAGATGGAGGCGGTGGAGGGCTTCGCGCCGGGCGAGGTGGTGTGCGCAAAGGAGGGCGTGCTCGGCGTGGAGATGGTCCCCGCGGAGCCAAAGATGCCTCCACTGGCGGCCCCGCCGCCCCCAGCACCGTCCAGGCCCACGCCGGAAAGGCTGTTGACCGAGCCGAGAAGGGGGCGCCGGTAGGAGCCCATGTAGGAGGGGCGGTTGGCCATGTACGAGTTGGCCGAGTAGCCGACGCCTCCCGGGCCGCCGCCATTCTCGGTGACGCCCTCCCGCTCCACGACCAGCCGCACAAAGCGGTCCAGCCCCGTCAGCTTGGCAATCACAGCGTCGTGCTCCAGGCCCTGCACGTCCGTCCCGTTGATGGACAGTAGCTTATCACCGACGATGAGCTTGCCCTCCGCCGCCCCGCCTTCAAAGATGGTCGACACGTAGACGCCACCACCGCCGTCGTCAGCATCATCACCTCCGGCCTTGTAGGGCGGCGCCCCCCGGCCGCCGGCGATGCTAAAACCGAGGCCGGTCTCGACGCGCATCAGCGTCGTGTGGACAATCTGCTTGGTGAGCTGGGCGCCAATGAGCGGGGTGAGCGGCACTGAGGAAGAGGTGGCCGCGGTGGGCGTAGGTTCAGGCTGCGAGAAACGATGCGAGGCAATGTTCAGCGGGCGAGATGATGAGAAGGAGGAGGAGGAGGAGTTGGAGTTCTCCGGAGGATTGGAAGATATCGCCGAGGAGAAGGAGAGCGGCGGCGGCTTGGCCTTGCTGATGGAGGTGGTGGTGGTAATGGGAGGTGATGATACTGAAGCAGGCGTTGTCGGAACAGCAGGCGACAGCTGTCCCTCACTTTCCGCTGAGGACCGGGAGATGACCGACGTCCTCACCGGCGGCAGCGGAGGAATTCGGCCCACTGCTGAGCTGCTGGTGTTCACCACCTCAGGCGTCGTCATCGTCGTCCCCTGCTCCCGCTCCACGGTGATGGCAAAGTCCAGCCCCGCCGTCTTCAGCCGCTCCACCGCCTCGTAGTGCTCAATGACGGAGAAGTCGTGCCCGTTCACGGAGAGGATCTTGTCGCCGACGCGCAGCCCTGCCGCCTCCGCCGGCCCGTGCTCTGTGATGCGCGACACAAAGATGCCCTCGTCGTCGCCCTTGTAGGGCGAGCTGTTCCGCCCGCCGGCGATGCTCAGCCCGAGGCCGGTGCCGACGCGGCGCATCTGCAGGTGCAGAATGACCACGGGCACCGCCTG